GAGGTGTATATGTTATCCATGCGATAACAACGACAAGAGAATCCGTATAGGAACAGACGAAACGTGCAAAGCGTGAAAGACGCGGAGGTCCGTAAGGCTCGTAAGGTGGGTTTCCTGAATTGCCCTTGTGAAATCAAATCACGTTAGGTGGTGCACCTTGCACCTGATAGGCACAGGTGCCTTCGCTTCGCCCTTAGGCCCCGAATTGTAGCCCTTGTGAAAGAGCCTAATCCTCGTACTGTGCAAAAGTCGCCTAGCGCCTTGCAATTTTCGTGCCTAACGGGGGCTTGTGAAATAGGCCCTTGGACGGTGCATCCTGCATTCCCCATCACTGATAACTTCAACAACTCCTTTTTTCATAGATCATCAACACTTCGCAACTCGGTCAGGTCATGAGAATGGCAAAGCGGCTTGCGCCTACATTTGCCCAATATACGCATCATAACCTTGCGCACACTCAATGTCCGACGACGACGAAAGCAACGCATATGTACAACCCATATTGTCACAACCTGAGGATTAGCACACGCTGCTTCATCCATATCGAAAGTCGGCCCACGAATAATGCGAGAGCGAAGGCGAGCACTCCAGCTGAGAGAGCTGCTATTCGCCGGTGATACTGACGATATGGACTTCGCACGAGCGGGCACTGGTCGGGATCGAGCACGAAGTCTCGTGAAGGACCCTGTGAACCACACAGCGATGATAGTGAGGCTGGAGGGCGTTTGGTACTCTTGAAAGTAGACCTGCTGGTAGGCAGTTCCCTGTTGACCTTTCGAATAAACATCGACTTCTGTGCATGTTCAGCGCGTTGGCGGTGTCATCAAGAAGACACTCTCGACCTAGGAAGAATCACTCGAGTGCGAAGATTTTGCGATCAATCGATCAGTCGAGGTGTTTCGAACAGTGGCATGATAATCGAAGTTGTATATGCTCACATTGGTTGCCTCGCTGCTTGCATAGCATGACGTCCGATTCAACAGGCATGATGGATCGTCAATATGCCAAGGGAGATTTGACTCAGAACAGAGGAACTGAGGCATGATATGGCAGGTGGATATATCAACCCGAGGGACACGTGAGGTGGCCGAGCTGTCCGGTGGGCCTCTGTAAGATGTCTTTACGACTGATTGGCAAAACGCAGGCGCTCAGTGACAGATTATTTATCAAGGCTGAGAAAGATGAATCTTCTATATCGTCAGCGTTCAGAGATGGACTCATCGGACGACAGAGATCCGCTCGTGAATCTCGACGATTGGACGCCCACCTTACCGCCTCTTTACGAGTTGTTCCAGTTTTCTGTTGATCTGCTCTTCTAGCTGTATCCTTTACTCGATATTGGCCAACAGAAAATCTCAGAACTTGGCATGAGCTCAGAATGCCCTAGTCATCCAGAACCGATTCAGTTCCTCCTTCATTAACGCGATGATGTGCTCTCAAGAAGACCATAATCATATGCACATAATCCTTGATACTTAGCCTGACCTTTAGCTAGAGATCCTTAGTCCTCCTATACACTGCTCTATTTACCTACTGGAAGAGCTATAATGTTGTGTCTGTCATGGCTCCTAAGACCAAGACCGATCGATGTGACATAGTCTATGTATAATGAGAACTTGTACAACTCTATGTCACATAGAGTTGTACAGTTCTCATTATACAACGCACAATGGATATGGAAGATCGATCATCGATCTCTACCACAGGCGATGTAATTAGGAGTACTTTTGTTCAAACTACGCAAGGAAACTTGAGAAAAATTGGGCGTTTGGAAGATGAACTCAAGTCAGAGGGAGAAGATCTTGGATGCGCGAGAGACGAGGCACACATTACGCTCACAAGAATAACAAATGTGTATGCGTGCAAGCTCGTGCTGCACATCGTACGCAGACACATTCATTCGCAGATCCTACGTACATCTCTGATCGTTGTAACTCGAGTCGTCGTCACAGATATACGATCAACATGACCAGTGCCTGCGTTGGCCTACATGCGACAGTTGAAATGCTCCCCATTGTCGTCTGCGGGTCGCAGTCTGTTGTACTATGATGTAGTCGGTTAACCCCCAGAGCAGCCTCAGTTGACCACCGCGGTGTTGTTATACTCCCCCCCCATCCATGCCAGAGTTCAAGCAGAAGCTCGGTGCCGAATTCCCTAACTTCGACTGCCAGACTACTAAAGGTGACTTCAAATTCCATGATTTCTTGGATAGCGACCCGAAGAGGCCCTACACAGTGAGTCACTCACCAGTTGCATCTTCATCACATATCTCCGTCAGATTCTCTTCTCGCATCCCAAGGACTTCACTCCGGTCTGCACCACCGAGTTGGGAAAACTAGAGAAGAATAAGGACGAGTTCACCAAGCGTGGAGTCAAGCTCATCGGTATCCATGCTAGCCGCTGATCTATAAGCCTTACGAGTTCGCGAACTTCTGCTAGGCATTTCCTGCGACAGCGTCCCGGATCACCACGCTTGGAGTAAGGATGTTCTAGCTTATCAGAGCTTGCCAGGCGATGACCTTTCCTACCCTATCATCGCCGATCCCGATCGAGAGATCGTAAGTGTGCTTTTGGGAGGATGTTTTGCATCGTTACATATGATCAGGTGAGTCTGCTCGGCATGCTGGATCCCAATGAGAAGGATGCTGCCGGAATCCCCCTACCAGCTCGTGCACTATTCGTCATTGGACCCGACCACACGCTGAAGCTGTCCATAGTCTATCCCGCTACCACCGGCCGAAACTATGACGAGGTGAACGGTTTCATCTATGTCTTCCTGAAGTATCTACTCTCACACAACTGTTAATCTCAGCTCATTCGTACCCTCGACAGTCTGCATCTCACGGCTGACTTCAGTCTAGCTACTCCGGTAGACTGGAAGCAGGGCGAACGTGTCATCGTCGCTCCAAATGTCGCCACGGAGGATGCTCAGAAGCGCTTCAAGAATCTCGAGATCAAGGATTTGCCCAGTGGGAAGCCTTATCTCCGCTACGTTGATGCGCCCGAGTAACTTGAGACATAGAATGTCATGTAGTTCGTCCCTTATTAATATCAAAGTCTTTGATTAAACTAACGCGATTTCTCTGAACTAAGGTGCTGCGGAAAAACGCTGCCTTTTTTTCTTATGACTTGGCCAGGAGATTGAGTTGTACTCTAGTTGGACATGATACTGGAGACCTAGCCGAGACTCATGCTCTCAGGCGAACCTAACGTGGTTGGTTCTCTGGGCAAATGTGAAAACTCAAATTCTCTCTTAGTCGTCGCGCAAGAACGTAATTCGTATAGATTATTCTCATATTTGGTTGCTGTTGGTTGTTAGCTTGACGGACTGAGCTGGTTACGTGGGACTCGCAACCCAACCAAACACCAGAAAGATGCAGAGAACTAGGTGAAAGAGCATATATGCATATTGTCAAGACAGGACCGGCGCCGACACTGCAAAAAGTCATGCGTTTTCTATCACTATGACGGAGGAGATAGTAGCAACAAACGTCAAATATATATGAGACTTCTTGAGGTAAAGATCTCGGGTTCAAACTTCGTAGTCAGCTGAACTTCTCGCACCCTGGATAATCAAAGACAAACTGAAGCTAGCACAATCCCCGCCGCCCCGCAAGTCAATGGCCATGTGCGTAGCATCGCGCACACATACGCCGGAAGGATTCAATATACTTCTAGTTATGATAAAAATATGGAGCTTCACCAACAGTATCATCATTACTATCCCTGTAAGAAATTTACTGATATTTTGGAGACCAGCATAGGAGCTGCCACGAGGTGTTCTGCACTTTAGCTGTACCCCATAGCAGGCCGAAGTCTATTCGAGAACGATCTGTTTTTGCAGCAGAGCTGTCGATGAAGAACCAAGCTGAATACTCTGAACCCTTAGGGGCATCGACCTCATATATCACGCTGCCCTCGAAAAGATCGAGGGCTCTCAACTTCCGACCTGGGAAGTCACCATCGAGTAGGACCAAGGCTTCTGGCGGAGGGTGACATCCGGGAGAGCCAATATTGAGGCTAACGTGGAAGCTCTCCATTACGCGTTTCTGGAGCAGAGGACCACCAGGCTTCCACGTGTAAATAGTTGGGCTCTTATCACGATCGTCACCACGAGCAAGAAGTAGGACTGTGATCTCACCCGACATGAGGAAAACTCGCATCTCATGGACGGAATTTTTTACTTCTAGGAGATCTTCTGATCGTCCAAACAGCGCAGGAGGTTCGAGATGGATCCGACTGACGTAGCGTTTGCCAGTAGCATGGGATGGGCTAGATATACAGTATGCGGCCACTGGACGACCATCCTCGCTCGAGGGGCAGCAGCACAGACTATGATCGAATTGGCAGTCGAGTAGCGGTGCAGACATCGTCACTATGTCTCCAGACTCGTCCGAACTCTCGCCCGAGTTCCTCGGCTCGCGACTGTCACCATCACTGATACTGCGAGTAGTATATCCTATTCGCTCTGGATAAAGGCCGCCTCGGGTAGCATAATAGCCGATTAGTATAAGTCTACCACTGTTGGGATCAGCGCAGAACTCTTTTACTCGAGCACCGTCTAAAGGGTTGCGGATTGTTCGCGAGTGCTGTGTTCCATGACGGAGATCAACTTCCGTAACCGAGTAGTCATGTGATGAAGCTTTCTCATCAAGTATGAGGCAACGGCCTGGTGAAAGTCTGCCGAAGAGTACCCTCCCTGTACAAGTGGTTTCTAAGGAAATCCCTGGTGACTTGTCGTATGCCGCAACCGCCGGAAGGGCATACTCCCAGAGCAAGGCCAAGCAGTCGAGTAGTGGCGATGGATCTCGACACACCCATTGATTCATCCGAATGAGCACAGCAACCACTCTCTGTCTAGCGTGTCGACGCACGTGCTGTTCGGTTGAATATGACATTATGTTTAGCTGAATTAGGTTGCTGACCTTTTCATCACATGAGTAACTTCCACATCTCAAATGACTTGTAACAGCACCACATGAACAGAGAGTATTGGAAACGTAGCAGTCAAGAGTAATCAAGCTCGACCATGGGATCTCTCTTATGTTCGAGGATTTCTGTCATATTTCTGACGTTTCTATAGAGTTGCCGACGGCATAGCCATGACCGCCGGACACATTTGCGTTGAATACCATACGGAAGGCAACGTCCTCATTCCCATCATCTCGGGATCTGCTGTTACAAGAGCGCCGCTTATTGTCACTTGTTTATTTCTGTTTAATCGGCGGACATCTCCAATGAAGCTGAAATACTCATGAGGCATATCTCCAAGCAGCATCGCTCACCTTCAAAGAGTCAGGGACCTGACCCGAGGTGATATCGATACTGGTGTCATCCACTTTACCCCAAGTACGCCTTGAGGTTACTCTCTCTCCTCATTGGGAGGGCGCCAATATTGCAGCATCGCCCTCACTCATGATCTACCAATCAAATTCGATTACAGTAGCGATGCCCTATAGCATTCGAGGCTGTAACTCAAGATAGAGACGACTTTCTTCTCGAGCTCGACTGTTCAATCTTGGACCCGATAGATCGAGGGATGGTCAAAGATGAATGCATATTGTCAAACTTGCCCTCGACATTTCCCGCTTGTGTCAAACATGAATACTTGTTGTCCTTCTTGGATGTGACACTGACATAGTTCCCTGCACGTCCGTCTAACTTGCACGGGAAAAGGTGTTACTCTGCATCACCCCCACGAGAATCAGGGACATAGCCCATGTCCTACTTTATGGGCGAGCGCTAACACATCTTGCTCTATTCATGCAGATGAAGAATCTCGTGCTCGTCGCGCTTCTCATTTTAATCGATTGGCCTTTGATATCGTAGACTTGAATGAGGCGCGGTTGTTGGCTTTCAACTATCTGCATTCCCGTATAGAGGGCGATTCATGATGCATGCCGTGGTGATATTGGTTCATGCATTCTTTCCGGCTTTGAGTTGACGAGTATAGCGACGGGAGATTGACAACTGTCCGCACCGCGGGCAGTTTATGCATTGGACAATTATAAGAGCCACATCGGCCTTCTCCCGGAACACTCAATCCTCTCGATCGTCTTTAAGCTTCTTCCGTCCGATACTTCACTACCGCTCACTGATGACTACCCCCTCAGAGGAACCCAATACCGCAACAGCAGTGCCTGTCACTAACGGTATCAAGGAGTTAGCCAGAGGTCACGTTATACGATTTTGAATGTCTCAGACTCGACTGAGACTCCTCAGAAGCTCCCCGCCCACGAGCGTAAGCGTTTGGCCCGCGAGGCCAAGGCCAAGGCCGCTGCTGCTAAGAAGGCCGAGCGTGAGGCTAAGATGGCCGCACAGAAGGTGGGTGGTGACGGAACTATGTCAGATTTGGAGTTGTACTTCCCTGTTGTAGGCGGCCAAGGCTGATAAGGTCAGCGATGAGGATCTGGACCCCACTCAGTAGGGAAGACTCGATAACTGGTTGGTGATGTGATGCTCCGTGAAGGTACCGGAACAACCGTTTGGGTGAACTCGACGCCATCCGAGCCTCTGGCCGAGAGGCATACCCTCACAAGTGGCCTGTTGATTCCACTATTGCTGAGGTTACTCAGAAGTACACCGATCTTGAGGCTGGTCAGCACACCGGCGATGTGAGATCATTCGAGCTTCAGTAGCATTAGTTTTTACTCATCATCCATAGGTTGTTTGCTTAGCTGGTCGCGCCATGTCCAAGCGTGAGAGCGGCAAGCATATGGTTTTCTACGATCTCTGGGAGGATGGCCATAAGATTCAGGTGGGGTATCTGCACGTATCATCCAGGTAGCGTGTCCTTAGGTCATGTCCGTCGCCCAAGATTGGACCGGCGATGTTGACTTCGCCACGGCTCACAAGGAGGTCCATCGCGGTGACATTATCGGTGTTAAGGGTAACAAGGAATTCCCCTTCCCCTCGGTTGGACTTCATTGTCACTATATAGGTGTTGTCGGCAAGTCCAAGCGTGGTGAGCTCTCTATCTTCCCTTCGGAGATTCGCCTTCTTTCCACCTGCATGCATATGCTCCCTAAGGCCCAATTCGGCCTCAAGGACCAGGAGGTTCGCTTCCGACAGCGATATCTCGATCTCATCATGAACCCTCATGTGAGAGAGACCTTCCAAAGACGATCTCAGATCATCGGCTATATCCGCAGGTAAGCTCTTCATACCAATCTTTTTTCACATCGTATTAATTTCAGTTTCCTGGGTAACCGTGGCTTCATGGAGGTCGAGACTCCCATGATGAACATGATTGCCGGTGGTGCTTCGGCCAAGCCCTTCATCACTCATCACAACGAACTCGATCTCGACTTGTACATGCGTATCGCTCCCGAGCTCTACCTCAAGATGCTCGTCGTTGGCGGCCTTGATCGTGTTTTCGAAATCGGCAAGAACTTCCGTAACGAGGTAAGTGTCATGAGCAGCGACCCCAAGTAGGAACTCTTGTGGTTTCAGGGTATTGATCTTACTCATAACCCCGAGTTCACCTCGTGCGAGTTCTATATGGCTTATGCTGATTACAACGATCTCATGAACATGACTGAGGAGATGATCTCTGGCATGGTGACACGGTCTCAATTCGTCGTTCATAAGCTCATCCCCGATGATTCAGGTGAAGTCTATCTTCGGCACCTATATGGTTACCTTCCACCCTGAGGGCCCTGAGGGTCCCGCTAAGGAGATCAACTTCGCTCCTCCATGGAAGAGAGTACCTAGTGCATATTCACGTAGGATGCTTCATGTTCTCACTGGTAGGTGTCCATGGTCGAGGAGATTGAGCGCCAAGCCGGTGTGTCTCTCAACCGCGACTTCGCCGCCGAGGAAGCCCGGCAGCAGTTGGACGACTTAGCGAGCAAGTTCGATGTGGAGTGCCCTGCTCCCAGGACTTCCGCTCGCCTTCTCGACAAGCTCTGCGGGTTCTTCATTGAGGTAGGGAACGCTGGACCTCTCTAGAGTGCAGGGAATTTGCGATGTCGTTGAAAAGTTTCAACTCTAAACTAGGTCCCAGTATTTGATTCTCAGGACAAGATTGTGAGCCCCACCTTCATTACTGAGCATCCCCAGATCATGTCGCCTCTCGCCAAGTGGCACCGATCCAAGCCTGGTCTCACAGAGAGGTAATCAACGGAATAGGGAGTAGGCATTTCTGGATGTATACGCGCAGGTTCGAGGGTTTCATCATGGGTAAGGAGATCTGCAATGCTTACACGGAGTTGAACGATCCTGTGAAGCAGTTGGCTTGCTTCACCGCCCAGGCCCAGGCCAAGGCTGAGGTAACAGCGTCAATTGTCTTTCCTATGTGTCAGTATATGGTAATGGTCTTAGGGCGATGACGAGGCTTGTGATGTTGACAATGGTTTCGTCACTGCATTGGAGTATGGTCTCCCTCCTACTGGTGGCTGGGGTCTTGGTGTTGACAGGTAGGATTAATGTCCCGCTGGCATTGTAGTATAGTATTGCTCGTTGGTAGACTCTGCATGTTCCTTACGGATAACATTAACATCAAGGAGGTTATCCTCTATCCCGCTATGAAGCCCATAGTTAACAAGCCCGCTGAAGGCGAACAGCAGCAGCAACAGGAGTAAATAGCTTGTTTATAAGGAGTAAGTCCGTTGATGATCGAGTACCATGACTTATCTGTTCGCTCTCAGTTCATTCCACTACGTTGATTGATGGGGAGGTGGCCTTTAGACGGAAGTTTCTGTCTGTTCCTGTTTTCACAAGACATCCGATGCCTCTGTTACATAGCTACACTATCTTCATTGTCATTTGCTTTTGAGTTGCCACTAGTAACGTCACATCATGCCTGTCCACGGGGGATTCCAATCTGATTATAGACGGATTCAGTGCCATTTGGTGATGAACACTGGAGGGGGGCTACAAAGAACCTTTGAAGAACGCTCGGGCGTAGCCTACTATTGCAATGAATGCATTTAGTTGTTAGTAGTATAATCGTTCGGTTATTATTATCCAGGACCTCTTCACGGAGTTGATGCAAAGGGAATAGTTCTACACTCGCGCTTGTGAAATTTCTGTCGATAGCACATGTACTTACCGCGGGTATCCCCTCAATTTAAAGAACACGAAACCACATATACGGTAGTAGACACCAAAAGGCGCATGTTGAGCAGTAGCTTACAGGGAACACTTATTGTATTATACAGTAGCTTTCACAACTCCTTCCCAGCTTGGGACGCGGTGTCGGGAGAATTGCCAGAGCAGGGGATGGATTCTTCGAAGGGTGTCGGGCACGACGCCTTCGCTTTATGACCATCATATCGGCTGTCGATACTTCCTCAGGTTGCTCCTTTGAGGCCAGTGACTGAGCAAGAGGACTTAGTTGGTCTCAGTGTGTTGTTGTCTTTACCTGGTTTAATCGGTCCACTTCGGATTGCTTCGTGCTGAGTAGCCGTACTAGGCGACTAATCTGTCATGTGAAGCATTGGAAATGCGATAGTCGGTGCCAAGGGACTACTACCTCAACTCTCTGCCGGCGAATCTCGTCACTCAACTCCCGCACTTGAGCTGACCGGGCCTGCTTCTGATCCTTGGACGCAGGTAGTCGACGACCAAACGCGAGCTTAGGTCGTTCTGATGGAAGTCAACACGCAGTATTGAACAATGAATCAGAGTTTCATGAGAACTCTGAGTTGATCTTATCCAAGCTTGTTAACCTCCCAATGACACCATTAGAAGATATAAGCAAAAGTGGCATTACCTTTTTCTGTTCGCCCTTCACTTCCTGTCGAGCTGCGTGATCTGGCAGAGGTCTGGTCAAAAGGCACGTCCTGGGATGGGTTCGGTTCGCTAAGAGCACACCTGAATGACGGGACGACTAGGAGAGTATAGAAGTATCAAAGTTACAGTATCCGTGCATTGAGACAGTCTATCATCACGTCAATGTCGTCCTCAATGGGCGGTGGTTTAGCTTCATGCTTAGGGGGCATCAATAAAAATAATGAGGCCTGAGTACATTCCCGTGAAATGTGGAAATGAGCAGATATGAACTGAATGCGCCGACTCCAAGACGGAGTCTGACCCCTTGCTGTGGTCTCAGGGAAATACCACACCATGGTCAGATTGTAAGCTGAATCTTGACTGTGACTCAGTACGAGCATTCCCCGCACTGAGGCATTAGACGGGTTCAGACACCACAGTAGTGCTCGCCTCAATGAGAACTTGGCAGAGCTCAGCGTCGGGCCTTATACAACATTCGGAACCTACACACCAAGACACTCTGGGATGACTTCACGTAAATTTAGACTCAGACCTCCAACCCTACTCAGCCACGTAGCAAAGTCCAAAGTCCTTGACACTTTCCAAGGAGGCACGATACAAACCCTTCTGTTATGTATGTACAGGCTGTATGTGTATTTACTAGTTCAACGATGGATGCTCATCACACAAAACGGAATTCTAGTTTGATTGAGGCATACCAGAGGTAGCTCAACTCTTGCATGTTGCACAATGAAGCATAACTGCACGGGTGGAGGGGACGATAAGCTACAGAACCACGGCCTCGAGGAAAGACGCAAATAGACACGCTTGGTCTAGAACCAGCAACCACAGGATTGTTAGATGTACGCTCAACCATCAGACCATATTAACACCCACATGTAAGAAGTCGTTGTAAAAAGTGGTGAATACGTGGTTAATGCTCTCAGGTTAGGCTTCGAACTATGCGAACATAATTAGCCTCATGGAAATAATAAACTCGAATGAGAGACACTAGTCAACTTGCGTTGTCAGGGCGAGCGCTTCATTTCCGCAAACGCGTTCAACAAGTTGGAAGCTTTCGAGAGAGTTGAATTGACAGCATTTGAACAGGGACCTACAGAGCAGCTATTGTAGACTATATGCACAGACGGAGCATGTCAGCCCTCAAAAATCACTGTCCTGAGTGAATCAGTTCTTGGAACCAATGTCTAGTTCACCAGCCGTCAGGCAGGAGGCAGCTCGAGAGGATTCGCTCCTGCACAGCTCGACGGGTAGCTCTTTCTTCTCCTCGTGGTCCGCCTATACGGGTCGGTGAGTAGGTAGCCAAACACCTGTACAGGATGCTGCCCCGACCGACTGCCTCCGTGTGTTGTTCCCTGCAACGCAAGGAGGGGAACAGCAGCAGCAAGCACTTCAATTGGGGCAAATTTTCGAAGTCTTGAACAAGGTTCGAGGGGTAAATATCGGACATGGTAGGACGTTATGATCTCAGATTGGCGATGTGCGATGGGTCGATTTTTCGAATTTTCATCTTGACCACACCGTTGTCGTGGCTTATTTCGATCTTCGCGCGGCTCAGCGAGCGTTCACCAGCCTCAACGAGGTGCTGCTGGGAGGCAACCTTGAACTGTTTATAGTTCCTTTTCATGTAGGCCGGGCTATCTACTTCAGCAGAATATGTATCAACACCCGATTGCGAAAAAATACGTAAAGTAGTGCTCAGTGTGAGCGGCACTGACAGTTTCGATACTATTCGGGAGGAACTCACTCATTTTGGAGATCTCCGCCGAATGAGTTTTCAGGTATCAGTAATAGATTTGGATGCTCTTGGCAGATTTTGTTTCACCAGGACTGTTCCCTTGTCGCTGAATTCTTCGACTCGAGAGCTTGCGCGTCGATAAATGCCACTCTGGGCGCTTCGGGACTGGAGCTCGGCCGAGCCATGGGACTTGGTACTACCGGTTCGCAATGGAGGGACTGTCACTAGACTTCTGTTTACTTCAGCACCTAGGGCACGGCCCAGATCGTTGTCAGGGTCCAGCAAAGGTACTAGTAGGGGGAGGCGAGAGTCGCCTTGTAACACTGATCGATTAGATCACATCGGTAGTACCCATCCTCCTGGAGGTTCCTGTTCTGGAGCTCAACGGGCCGCTATGATGGGGTAGGTAGTGGCGCGGGGTGTGGTGCTGACTGGTGGCTCTAATGAGGTACCAGCAACCACGAGTGGTCTCTTCAGTAGGACAAGGCGTAGCTATCGCGAATCGTACGTTCCCGGATAAAACTAGTGAGTATCATGGCACGGCTCTTGCTGCTTTCTATAATTGTTCTTCAGCTTGTGCGTCTGAAACGATGAGCAGCAGTCGGTACCCAAAGACCCCTGCGGTTCCAAACTCGCAGTTTGTAATCGACCTAGATAGAGTAGTTAGTGGAGCCGACCCTCGGACAACTTGTATGATACGCAATATACCCAACAAGTACACTCAGAAGATGCTCCTTAGGCTGTTTGATTCGGTAGTAGGGGAGGAGTGGACTCCCGACTCGTCTTGTTATCGTTGCAAGTACTAGGCTTAGCTGCTCTCACTGTAGGTTGATTGCCGTTACTGGTTCACTAGGTACCCAACATATGCGGTCAATATGACTTCTTTTACCTCCCTATGGATTTTCGAAACAAGTGCAATGTTGGCTATGCCTTTATCGACTTCGCGAACCCGCGAATAAGTGAGACGTGGTTGTGTGTAGAGTAGTTGGTGCAGTGGTATGAGGGATTGTTATCTATCTTGAGGGCGTGAGTTCAATTCCGAGTGAAGCTTCTTTTCTGCAGGTATTCCCGCGTTGGTACGGGCTTTTGATGGGAAGAAGTGGGAGAGGTTCAACTCGGAGAAGGTAGTAGTATCCACTCTTGGGAGCCTGCCAGACTGGTCGATATCAGATATGCAAAATTACGTTTGCGAGGCTTCAGGGTTCAAAGCAGCTGATGGAGCATTTCCGCGCATCCAGTGTAATGCAGCAATCTAATAAACAAATAAGGCCTTGGTAATCATCTGAAGGTGACTTCGTCCTGGTGGTGTTATACATATAGCAGGTTCCAGAGAGATCGATCGATCGGTCAGTACCCTCGTATGGTTAATTCTTCTATTATGGAGCACTCGAGTCACCAGCAAGCCTCGGGAGCACTATCGTCATCATCAGCGATGAGCGCAGGTGGTGAGGCAGATGCTGCTGTCAACTACGATAGAGCTTTGGCCGACTTGTGTGCTATTGGCGAACCGAGCCTGCTGGCTACGGCTTTAGCACAGCTGCAGCGAAATGAGGAAGACCCTTCTTCGGTAGGAGCAGAAGTTGGTGATGGGAGATGGGAGCCTCGTGTTGAGTCAGGTCATTCTGGATAACTTCCCTTTGGAGGGCTGGTCGGATGCTGCGAGCTCTATAGGCGGCTTTAGTGCTCCGGCAGCTTACTACTCGGGAGGCTCACCTGGTACCTCTACTCCTCTGGTGAGAAGAGTGGGAACGGCTCATACCACACGCTGGTCACTTCTTATTTCAGCCCACCCTTGGTGGTTACAGTCAGCTGCACTTCACGCCTCCTCTGGGGTGGACAAGTAAGCCTGACGGAACTGAGCGCAGCGACAAGAAGTGACTTGTTGAGATTTTTCTGTTGATTTGGAAGGACCACAATGTCCTTTTGATTTGTTACCACTTCATTGTTTTATGATCCACCTCGTTTTTGTTGTTGTACTATTCTGTTGCTACTACAACTACTTCTACCATACTTCTGAACTATTAATACAATACTAGAAAATCAGAACTCGCCGGAACTTCTACTGTTGCTAACGAAATTGATACCTCCACTGTAGTGGCTTTGTAAGGATTACCTGTGCCCCCCTCCCCTTTACGTCTCTTGCTGTATGGTTGAACAGTAATGCTGCCGTTTTTGGCCCATTGATGCCTAGGTGAGTGCCTCTTCTACTTTAACGTCACATTGAGTTGGAGTACCATAATGCTACTGTACAGCTCCCTTTATCGGAATGATGACGACTGAAGCCTTTAGCCTACTACCTGAGGTTGATCGCCTTGGTCATGTTTAAGCTTTGGTGTCCCGAACAGGAGAGCCTGATAGCTGTATACGAGCCGATTACTATCACAGCAGTTGGTCAAGCTTAGGGCCTTGTTGGGAGGGGGGTACGCGCAGCTAAGGAAAAGCGGCAGATGGAGGGGGAGCGGAGTGCTCGGTTTGTGAGCGAAATTACAGCAGGGTCTACTACTACTACTACTACTACTACTACTACTACTACTACTACTACTACTACTACTACTACTACTACTACTACTACTACTACTACTACTGCTGCTGCTGCTGCTGCTGCTGCTGCTGCTGCTGCTGCTGCTAGTTAAATACAATAGGACCACTAGTGGTCTCTAGCGGCTCTCCCATCTTGACGCGGCTATGTGCGACTTTCTGACTTCTGCTAAGCGACAGTTTCATGAAGGGAAGTTGATGGTTTTAGTTTTACTGTGTATGATGATGAGAATAGGTTGTGCAGTAGTGTGGTTGGTAAATGTCCCGTAAGAGATCCTTCAACTCTAGTGTGGCTCAGACTACTTCAGTCCACGACGAGATGCCACGTTACGCTAACGTAAGTGACGTAGATGTGGTTGCTAGTGTAGTCATGTCCAGGTCCTGTGCTGTGTCTGTGGTGCATCGATGACACCGAACCAGTCGAATATGTGTGTCAACTGCATGAAGGGCGAGGTGGACATCACCGAGGGCATCTCTAAGCAAGCAGTGGTCAACTACTGTCGAGAATGCAACCGGTGAGGCGGAGGATGAGGAGGATTGGTCGTGCTGAATATTGGCCGTATTCCGTATTTGTAAGGTACCAGCGGCCCCCGTGGGTACCTTGTGAGCCGGAGTCTCGTGAGCTCCTGGGGATCTGCCTCAAGAAGATCAAGGGTCTCAACAAGGTGAAGCTGGTAGACGCCAACTTTGTAAGTGCGCATTATATTGTCAAGCTTGTATGCTTCCTTGCCCCTCAGATCTGGCAGGCCCCGACTAGCAAGCGAATGAAGGTGAAGTTGACTGTTCAGAAAGAGGTCATGAACGGCGCTGTCATGCAACAGTCGATGATAGTCGACTTCATCGTAAGTCCTACTACGACTGCCCAAGAGGAGCTGATCCGGATGTGTGTTGGTAGGTCGCTTGGCAACAGTGTGACGATTGCAAACGTACGTACACCCCGCATACTTGGAATGCATCGGTGAGTTGGGTGTCTAGTAAAGGGTGAGTGTATTACTGATTGCATCGTGGTGCCTTTTCGAAATGATCACCAATTTGGGTGATTCATTGAAAACAGCCAGGAGAAAATATGAAGAAGGATTTTTTTCTCAAAAAAAAGGGAAAATTATCGAAAATTTCGGGCTAAAAATTGAATTGACCTGAAAACACTATAGTGATAAACAGTTCACGTTTGACGCTGTCGCTGTGATGGAATATATAATTTTTACTATTATATTATGGATTAATTGGCTTTGAAACTCAGCAGAGGGAAACATTGTGAAAAGTACGAAAAGTTTTCATCAGAAAAATAGAATTTCCATGATGGGTTCGCGGATGCTCTTGATATGTTAGGTTCAAGTTCGACAGAAGACCGATCATAAGCGGACCTTTTACTATCTAGAGCAGCTCATCTTGAAGCACGATGCGCATGAGAAGGTGGTCGGAATCAAGAGGACACCTGATGGGCTAGACTTCCACTTTGGTCATCGAAGCCACGCGCAGAAGTTCTCGGAGTTTGTATTGAGCCAGGTGAGAGAGTAAAGGAAGTGGACGAACGGGGGATCACTGTGAATGGTCTCAGGTCCCTTCTAGGGTGAAGCAGAGCAAACACCTTATAAGTCACGATGCTCATAACACGACGTAGGTTCTCTCTTCGAACGGACCTGTGTGGAACAATATGCGCATGGCCAACCATACATGTTGGTGACCGTGGGAAATTTCTCGTGACTGTGCATTTCAACCTTTGTATGCGAACTTTTATAAGTACTGAGGAAATTTTTCAAGGTCGGCTGAGGACCGTGTTGGAATATTAATATGACCTCAGCTGAGGTCAGGAGTTTTCTCACTAATTGTAGAAGTTTACACATGAATTCAGAATTTCTCGAAATTTCCGCGGAATTTCCGCACATGTAGTTGACCATGTGCATATTTTCCCTTCACACTGGAAATATACTCCAGCATTGGACCGGACGCTGTTCGTATTAGATACAACTACAAGTACACAACATTGATTGATATGTGCCCCGTCTGTAAGGACGATGTTGTATTCCTACCCAAGGCCCTCAAGAACAAGTTGGGTGGTGTGAACCCGATCCAGGTTGTTACTAAGGTAGGGCGCATGGTGAAGTGTACAACCACGTGCGTCGTTGTAGGTGGCGAGCCAAATTCGCCTTGTGGATCCTCTCACTGGAAAAGTGTCTGATTTAGCAGGCGTTGAGTAAGGCGGAAGACTGCGCAGAATTGAAATGGTTACCTGCCAGGTACTGGAAGAATCCCTTCGATTCGTTGTTGACTCGCCGACATTTGGTTGAGTTCACCGTCCTCAACGTGGAAGAGGATACTGGTCCTGCTAGGGCGGCTGCTTTCAATAAGCGAGGTCTCAAGGGCTACACTATGGTGGATCTGGAGCTCATGCGTAAGGAGGGTATTGGAATAGGGTGTGTAGTGGATCGATACTGTCAGGCACTGAGGGCAGTGGGGAGGCAACCACAGGGGATCCCGAAATCATCACTGTGCGGTCGCATCTTGGGGGTGTGCTCCAACCAGGGGATCTTTGTGCTGGGTGAGGTCTTGTGCGTTTTATGTGTTCGAGTGTGCGAAACTGGGGGATTCGCGTTTTGGTCGTTACCGAATGAGCGGAGCGAAGCGTATTTTATATTGCTCATTTTGCTAATTAAGTGTTACGTAGGTGGAACATCATTATTTGTTTATCATTTGAATAAGTCCTACGTAGGATGGGCACATATGAGGCTCTGGCGTATACCAACTTCACGCGTTCAGGGTTAGAACTGAAGTGGTTACTGCATTGTGCAATGCTCTCTATCTCTGCTGGTACAGATACGATCTCCGTACGGTGAATGTGTCGGGTATTGATGAGGAGATGCTCGAGAAGACCAACCTGGATGTGATCATAGTCAAGAAAACATACACTCGGCACCGTCAGCGCAAGCGTCCGTGGATTCTCAGAAGGCTCGAGAGAGAGGAAGATGCTGGTAGTAGTAGTAGTAGTAGTAGTAGTAGTAGTAGTAGTAGTAGTAGCAGGGTTCTAGCGTGGGATTGTCTGACAATCATTGTCATTATCTAGCTTATTGAAGTACCCTAATGTAGGTGAGGAGTCCAACGATGGTGACTATGAGCAGTTTATGCGGGACATTGAGGAGGATAAGGATCTTCGTCAGGAGGTCTTCTAGTTCTTCTGAGGGTTACTCTCTTTATGTGATGTTCTATCCCAGATTAACCTCTTCCGTGACCCGGCATGGAAAGAGCCGTGCAATGTGGGTGCTGCACAGGAGGGGGAGGAGGAAGGGGAAGCAGACGTAAGTCGCTCCGTCGTCCAGTAGCTGGCCTGCTTGACGCTACTTGTTCAGGACAACGAAGCCCCCGAGGTGGACCTTGCTGAGTTACTCGACGGTCTCACCCTCAACGATAAGGGTAAGGTGAACTGCTTTCCTCTTTATGATGGTGTTTTCAGGTTCTCAACAGCAGGAGGATGACGAGCTATGAAGCGAAGTTTAGTGTTGTTGATATTAACGTCCAGATGTGTCACTATATTCACCACAAGACTGAGTACCTGTTTCTCGCGAGATAGCTCATGTTGTTGTTGAGTATGTTGAAATGTTGTGATTGTTTTCTTATTAGTTTTTCCTACGTATTTATGTCGAATAAGCTTGAAGAAAGTTCAGTGCCACACCGAGGGAAAGAGGAGGAGGAGGAGAGTCGTACTTCTACGGTAGTTGACCACTCCTTCTACTACTCGTGAGATCTCTTTATCGTGTTAGTTGTTGGTGAACGATGCAGACGTGCTCGACACAGAGGAGCACAATGACGATCCGTCGAGCTTAAGCGAACCCTTGGGCATGGGCCGAGCTAGGATGGTAGTAAACTTGAAGGAGGCTTCAACGGAGTGTATGTAGTGTCGTCCCCTAGGTGCATCTCGACCTCGACTTGGCCGTGGATTTCGAATCTACACGTTTGGTTGGCCGCGTAGATATAACGTGTACGCCGAATACTACTGGTCCCTGCGAGTTGGTGTTGGACACTAGGAATTTGCAGATCCGACAAGTGAAATCTCGCCCGCCCCCCGATTGAGTTCTCGTTACTGAGATAGTAGGTGTATTTGGTCACAGCTCATCCCCCCATTATACCGGGCGTTTCGGCAGCATATGTACTCCAAGAACTTCCTTACGAACTGGCAGAGGATCAGAAGGTGAGCATTGATCGTTTTTGTTAGTGTGTTCAGCTTGAGTGTAGGATCCAGTGTTGGGAACCCCATTACGTATAACCCTACCTCCGACGTGCCTGGCTGGTCAGCAACTATTCGTACGAGTGGTGTACGCTACGTCGAGTAACAGTTCTGCTCTACAGTTCCTTACAAAGGAACAAACTTCTGGGGGTAGGTTTGGTCACTTCTCACTTGGTCATGCCTTGTCGTAGGAAAATACCCATTTCTGTTTTCACAATGTGAGGCTATTCATGCGAGGGCGATGATACCCTTGCAAGATGGATGCAACTGCAAGGTGGGATGAGTCGTGACTGCTGATGTTAGTGACGTTTGCAGGTTACCTATTCAGCCCGTGTGAGAGCACCGACAGAACTATTCTGTTTGATGTCAGCAATTCGACAAACTTCAGGAGGCCATCGATGCCAGGTGGGCTCAACAACCCTCCCCTCTACCCTCATCATCTCCTCGTCTCAGCCTCCACATGACTTTGGTGTATCAACAACTCCACCCGAGTTCTCTGGATTATGGTCAGCCCACACGTTCCGTCAAGACGTTGCTATCCCACCTTACCTTATTGCTATTGTCTGCGGAGAATTGGTCGGCAAACGACTCGGTCCTCGTAGGTCTCATCCAGTGTTGGATTATATGCTCGCTTTTTTCAGCTGAGCTCAGCGGTTTCCCCGCTGATTATACAAGTTTTCATATGAACTCGGGTAGAAGTGTCGAGAAACCAATACGAATTTCCCAAAATTTCCTCGTAATTTTCACATCGTCACCAAAAAATATTGTGCATATTTTCCCGTTTCTCTGTCCTCATCTTCATCGAACTCTGTAGGCATATCTATGTCTTTTAGGATGCACAGTTTGGGCTGAGAATTCGGTCGTTGACAAAGCTCAGTGGGAATTCCAAGAGACAGAGAAGATACTCCACATTGCCGAAGAACTATGTGGACCTTATCGATTCGGAGTGTAGGCATTCAACAACCAAGTGGGACCTGCCCTGTATGTGCTCTTCGTGCGTCAGATACGATCTCTTTGTGGTGCCGCCATCCTTCCCATATGGGGGTATGGAGAACCCTTGCCTGACCTTTGTCACGCCAACCCTCCTTGCGGGAGATCGTAGTCAAGTTGATGTGATTGCCCACGAGATAGCTCACAGTTGGAGCGGAAATCTTGTGACCAACCGTAAGTGGCATTCTTATGAATGCTCCTTTTAATGGTCCTTGTGACCAACAGGTAACTGGGAGCACTTCTGGTTGAATGAGGGTATGACGTGCTTCATTGAGCGGAAGATCGTGGAGCGATGCTTTGGTGAAGAACGTGGTGCACTTCGGGCGGAGAGCGGCTGGCAGGGACTACTCCAATGTGTTGAGCGGTAGGGGTACCGAAGTGGAGTCTTGTCATCAAGCTGCCTCATCCCTTAGCATTGGACCCGACCACAACTTCACGTGCCTCGTACCAGATCTTTCTTGTGGTGTGGATCCAGATGACTCCTTCTCTACCGTTCCCTATGAAAAGGGAGCCAGTCTGTTATGGTGACGGGTTGTTGCTGTGTAGTGGAGGGATATATCGTATGCAGGTATCTCCAAGAACTCGTTGGAGGCGATGAAGTTTTCCAGCCCTTCGTTCGCAAGTATTTTGAGGTTTTTGCCGGCTCAACAGTCACAACCGAACAGTTTGCCAACTTTTTCATGCAAGAGTTTGAGGGAAAGGTAAGAAGTAGATCGACTCCAATTTAGAATCACACATGGGCGAATCAGATATCTGAAACGCCCGATTGGAAGAAACTTTTCTATACTCCGGGTATGCCGGAATACAAGCCTCCATATGATGTGAAGCCGGTAGAAGAGGCTAAGGCCCTTGCCGCTGAGTGGGAGGAGGCAGCACACAATGATGTTATTCCTGAGGTTTCGGGTGTGAGAGATTGGCCTAGCGCAAAGAAGTGTATCATGCTTAATGCTCTTATCAATAATGGCAGGTCAGTCACTGTAATTTTGACGGTTTTTTGTGTCGGATTTTTCTCCTTTTCAGGTTTGAGGATGGAAGATATGCGCCGGAAGTAGTGAAGAAGATGAACGATGCTTATGGCTTTCTGGAAACGAACTGTGAAGTAAGTCCAGTGTTGTGACTTGACTTGACTCAGTCAACGCTGTAAGGTACGTTGCGACTTCATCCAACTCGCCTTGTCATCGGGTTGGAATGATGCGAAGAAAGAGGCTGTCAAGTTACTGACGGAGCAGGGAAGGATGAAATTCACTCGAACTCTCTATCGGTGAGCTGTCTTGTCGTCAAATCGTCTGTCTCTCACTCACTCTGTATAGAGCTCTATTCGAAGTCGATCCCGAGCTGGCCAGAAGAACCTTCGAAGAGCATAAGCTATTTTATCATCCTATATGTCGTAAGATGGTCCAGAAGGATATTGGTCTTGGCAGCGATAGCGAGTGACGATATTGACGATGATTTCTGGTTAGATGAAAATGCCACTCAATCATTTCATTCGGATACACCGCTTTCGATCGTTCTGTTCTTGTTGTGTTATGGTAACAGTAACGTTGTGAAGTCATGCTTTGTTGGGTAACGCAGTGAATGGAAAAACGAGGATAACCCAAATTCTTCTGCCATGGCAGACATGGTTTTATCCAAGTGCGCTTTGCGAAAGCGGTGGATGTGTTGACCAACTTACTGGTCGCAGCTTATTATTGGCAACTTGATCAACAGATGACTCAAGTGCGTGGCTCAAAAGCACGTGTGCACCACCGAGGCCCATCTCTCGGCGCGAGTTCTGTAGGGCACTTGTGTTCGCAGTAGCGATGTGTGCCAGGCCGGGTATTCCCATGGCTCGAATTTGCGATGATCATCATCGATATTTAACAACACGAAGAACTGCCCTTTTGTATACTCGACGATTTGTTCAGAGTTGGTTGGTCATTATCGCGGAAGGTAACGGTTATGATGGAATCCCGCAATGATCACCCATTCGGTAATGACGATTCGGTTGGGAGGGGGCCAATGGTAATGAGGACTCCAACACAAAACCAACAAGAGTCTGACATCGATATCGTCTGCTAAGAACAGCACATGTCATTACTAACACCATGATGGCTTCTTACTTCACTGTAGAGCTGAAGATGACGAGAAGTATATCGTGACCGGAGGGGAAGCACTGCTACCTCGCTGGACAGCCTGCAGGACCTTTGGGACATCGATGGTGCAGGGCTCAGTGGAGAGGTCACCACAATGGCGAATGACTGGGCAGAAGGAGATCATGAGAGGAACCCTAGGCGGACGTACTTGTAACTATCTCGTGGTCCACCAGACGCTCCCCAGTTGCCTCGGTCACCAACTGAGTGAACTCATCTGGATCAATACGGTCGCGGGACGTAAAGTCTTGGTACGATCTACAGCAAGATTAACTAACATTCTGCGATGGAACAAGCCTACTGTAGGGGAGCCAATTTCCTCGCTATAGTGTTGATGTCACTGTAGTGGAAGCCCTGGGACGATCCTTGCTCCTCCATATACCTGAAATAATAAGACAGGTTGGAGCTTCATGGAAGAATTGCCAAATCCACTTGAGAGTGTATTCATCAGCTCTGACGATATAGAATGGGATTGCTGCGATGACAACCGTAGCACCCACGAAGAACTCAGTCGGCGTAAACCTAAGGGAGTGATCATGCCACTGGAGGCGACTGGGGATAGAGCGGCTCACCACTGTCCAGTCGCTGGGTTCCTCTTCCTCGATTTCTCCGAGAATTTACCCTCAGTCTGTCCAGAATTACGGCATCTCATCTCCCATACAGCAACTTGATCATCCAACAGGAAAACGCCAATTATGAACCTACCACGCCGAACTGAGGTTCGATGAACTGCTCTATCTCCCCTCACCTTCTGTTGGCATCCTCCGGTTGCCTGTTCTCCATCCTAGCCTCGAAGCGCAGTACCTTACCAGAGTTCTTCATCTTCTTGATTAGATCCTGTCGTGGGGGCTTCGGACGGAGGGAATAACAAGAGCCTCTGAAAAGGCAATAGTGATAGTCACAAGAGTCGAGCCCTTCATCTCACATCGAGTCCTCCTCCTGGCCCACACCTATATGGGGTGGTTTAGTCAGCTCGTAGTGTGTTGGTGGTTCTACATCCAGTTCCACAGGATCTTGTGGGTTGCCATTGTACCTGAGCCTACTACTGACTTTGTCGAGTAACCATTATACTACTTCTTATAGAACTCCCTCGTAGCGGCATCGCAGTCGTATATGAAGAAGTCTCGACCATAGACGGCCATAGTAGAGCCAGTGGAGAGGTCGTTGGGGGTGTACCTGATGCAGCATGATCCCCCTAACCCCTCGACGCTCATCATACAGCGTCTGTCCGCCCGTCTCCTCGTATAGGGCCTTCATCTCGTCCACGAACATCCCTGGGGTATGGACCTGAGCTTGGTCCTCTCGGACGCCCGTCCATCGCCCCGAGCCTACCAGTGTTGGCCTCTTGGAGAGCGGTCCTCGCTTGAAAAAGGTAGGGTAGTGATCACGACCAGAATTTCTAGTATGGATCTCGAGAATCTCCAACGTGTCATCAACCAGGAAGAAGTGTATGGTGTAGTACTGCCTTGTGCCGTATCTGGCTACCAACCTTACTTACCCCACGCTGACCCTAGACGCCCTCCCACCGGGTCTTGTCGTCCCAATAGGCATAGAACCTCAGCACTTTCCCATCGTTCTCCAAGTATTGCCTCATTTTAGGATTACCGTGCCCTCCACCCAGAAGGGCTTCTGTGTACCTTCATAGGACTCCTGCTTACTACACGATAACAACAAGCTCAGCAATGCCGAGTGACTCAGAGAGAAACACCCCCACTTTTTGTTCCTGACAGCTCCGGTATAGGCTGCTGAGCCAATTCAGCTGTCCTCTTCACTGAAGCGGTGTACTGGTCAATCGGAATCTCGCGTTCTTCCCCTACAATGTCAATCCACGCATTCTAGCCAGCAGCGGCCCACCTAGGTCCAGTCCGTGTTCAGTGTAGAAGTCCCTCGTGAACTTATCACAAGAAGTAATCATGAACTTCCGCCCGTAGACGCTGATGGTGATACCACAACGTAGGTTCTCCGGCCCAAAATACTCCCCTTCACCGTTGGGCACTCTATGGCGCTTCAAGTAGGCCCCCTAGGACAACCCCAGTACCACCACAACCAAGCCCAACGCCTCGAGCCCACCTGTTGGAGGCCGCTGTTGAGGATCTTAGGTTCGAGTATATGCAGGGAGCCGTCCTCGAGGTAATACAGTATCGTACATCTGATGATAATAACACTATACTCTAATCCCATGTAAAGTCAGACACTCACTTCCTAACCCTGTAGTTCTCCACAGGGGATTCCACCACAGGCTCTTGAAAGTAGGCGTAATATCGCAGGACCTGATGAAGTAGCCTCCACCAGTGGTGGGCCAAGGACATGTCAATAACCTGTCTATCATGTTGAAGCCAGGCCGGCTGAATGCGTAGCTGTGGGGCGTTCTTCGCTACTGCCGTCATAAGTCAACTGCCATAAGGCAAGTCAGTCTACAGCCCAAAACGCAATCCTTTTGACCAGGAGTGACCACATCTGGGGGGAAACGTGGCAGAGTACACATGGAACCAGCCAACTTCGAGCGATCCACTATTCAACGCATTGAGGAGAACCCCAGTGGAGCAACTGTACTGAAGGTACCAGTTGTGTTCCCACCCAGTAGTGTCGTCCTCCAAACCGGCGGTCGGTTAAATGCAGCTCCCAGGACACCACCAAGTGGAGTCGGCCATTGATGTGAGTGTAGCAGTGGAGCTCCCAGAGAGGCGGACCTGACACTCAGGGTAGCCTCTACACTACGTACTCCGGAGGACCATACCTAAAGCGAGCCCCAACGGTGGAAGAGGCTACACCTCTGTTGATCTGACCGACCACCGGTGGGGGTGCGGCCGTTCGAGGAGGTACCATGACCATCCCTGTAGATAAGCTGAGACGGTGGGCCCCAAACTCTATTCGAGGTATCGGCAACCGCCAGGGAGCAGCACTGATGGGACCATGTCCAGCCCCTTGCTGATGTCCACTCACCCAGCCAGCTCCCTCTCAACACCTCTGACCACAGGGGGAGGCATAGAGTGGTGAGGAGGATGAAGACCTCGACCATCACTAGGGGGAGGACGTGAGGGCGGCAATACTGCCTTCGGTGGCCCGGCAATCAGTGGCCGCTGGACCACGACTCTACTCCAGCTAAGTACCGGCCAGCCTACCTCCGCCTCAACAGTACGGACCGGGTTAGTCCGCCTCTGTACCATAGCAGGCCGGTGAGTAGCCTTCTTCTTCTTCTGTGTAGTCCGTCTCCTCACTCCCCGATCGACATTCCAAATCCCTTCCAGATGGTCCCGTAGCCGTTGATGTCCCCAGGGATCTATTTCACTGTCCTTCAATGCTGTCCTATGAGCCTCATCCCATTGCCTGTGTGTACAGTGCACTTCACCCGCCGGGGAGGCCAACAGCACCTCATATCGTATGGTTCCGCCAGCTCAACGCCATAAAGCATGTTGTGTTGCCTCAGCCAGCTGAGGGAGGCCAAGAAGCCCACATGCTCGACGCCTGCTGACCAGCACTTCATCCGAGTTGGGGATGATGGCCGCGACCACTACTGTAACGCTCAAAGGCTTTGCGGAAGCACCACAACTTCCACGACCGTTGAATCCTGCCAGCTCGGAAGCTGCGACCAAGCCGAGGCGTCTTCGGCAACTCTAAAGGCCCGGCACTCCGACCCGTCACCCTACACCTGCCCGGTACCCGGATCGACCCCCTCGCTAGACTTAGTCGTCTTCCCTTCAGTTCTCCTCAAGGGCCTAGCCGTTCTCGAGCCTATCAATCATCATGCCCACTCCAAAGGGACTCGACTCACCTGGCGTAGCGGGGCTTTCCCTCCCTGTCGTCATCCCCTGCATATTCCGTGCCGACGTCGAAGGTATCCTTCCGCCCGAAACTGTGATACAGCGGTCCCTCGTATACCTCACACACTACTAGCCTACCCCGATCGGCATGCAGCCCATGATCAAGCCGACGGTAGGCCGATGCACTAGTAGGTGGGGGCCGCCTGAAGCCTCCAAGCTGAAGACCCCTAGATTTGCCAGCATGCCACCCTCTATTCATAGGCGTTGCAGTTGACGTCGATACTCTCCCCTCAAAATGATGATCATGTGGCTTCCCTTTTCCTAGGACCAACGAGCCAGACTCAAGCGTCGGCGGCACAGAACAGTGCCTACCAAAGCTCCACTGCTGAGGACTCGGTTCAGACCTACCTTATCGTTTCAGCGCCCTGCTGTCTCTGAGGCGTACCCGGGCCAGACGATACAGACCGTACTACACTACCGAAGTTAAGCGGCAGCCGAGGCACGGTATAGGGCGCGTGGGGAATCGACAAGCCTGACGGGACCTGGCGGACCACCCGAGAATTGCGCCAAACGGCCTCATGGTCTCTGGCCAGCCAAGAAGGGTTGCTCAGGGGCCGCGATGGGGCTATTGCTGGGGAATATAACGCTGAGGGCGGAGACGTTGATACTGGCACTGAGTTCAACAGCTCACTCGTCCGAGGCGTGTGCAAAGTACGGCTCAGTGATCGACAGCTAGCGTTAGAGCCAACAGAGAGACCTCTTTCCCCATGCTGGCCATCAGATGCAAGTCCTGGTCCTCGATACAGTGATGGATGGGGGGAGGCGCCCCGCTGGCCAGCCGCCCCCAAGGACACTACGACCTGCCACAATCGGCGATCTAACGTCACGACGCCACCTCGGGGTGAGCACCCTAGGGGGCATTGCTGCAGAGAACAGTGCTGGTTCTCTGAGGCATGGCTTGCCATACTGTGTTGAGGGATTGAGCGCGAATGACGACAGTCGTGGAAATGTGTGGCCTAACACCAGAATAGAAATGGTCGCCGCTCATCACCGAAGGGCGGATGGTAGCAACATAGGCCCACGAGAGGGAAGAGGAATGTTGAAGGAACAGCCAAGCATAGACCACCTTCAAAGTGCTGCGTTGAAGTGTTGTGCAGGTCAGCAACGACCATCGTGGAGCAAGTGCAGCAAACTGCGCCGTTGACATCACCCTGCGCAATTAAAATAGCGCGCGCCCAAAAATCCTTCCCACCCCGGGCCGTGCGAAGTCGTGGGGTTGAATGCGAATCATGAATCCAAGTAGGATCCCTTTATGATCTCTTCACCCCTCGGAAATCAGGATATGCACATGGCTCATAGACTATGAGTCATAGCAGCTGCTCCTAGGGATTCCTTTGAGACTGATATTGATGGGACGCTATAGAGAACTGATGGGCCTGCACCTTTGTGGTCAGCCAACGTCACTGCACTGTCCTGCTCGCGTCATCAATGCTAGTATGCTCGCAATGTATGGGTGCTGAAGCCAATATGAAGTGAACATGTACTCGCACCTTGGACAGGCTATCGGTGACTCGATCCCAATGGTCGCATTAGAAACGAATTTATTCAATTTTGGTGGAATCTGATCTCACAAAGTGTCCACTTTTGCCACCACTTTTAGTCTCAAGGCGAATATCCGTGATGACAGCGTCCTTACAGACACTCTTGACCATATCGTATACCGTCAATGCTGCTATACTAACAGCAGTCAGAGCCTCCATCTCGACACCAGTTGCATCACGACAGGCGACCTCTGAAGTGAGATGCACTCCCACGCCCCCAGGGGCTCGAGCAAGCTGTACATCAGCGAAGTCCAATCTGATCACATACCACACTAATGTGAATCAATACTGAATCACGTTACCTTATATTGTGACAGAGCGGGATTAGGTCAGCGGTCCTCTTAGCGGCCTGAACCCCTGCCACCTGAGCCGTCAGTGCTACTGGCCCTTTGGCCGACTCCCCCATGATAATGTCGGTGACCTCTCGCGATATGTTTGATATTCTACACGACGCCGTGGCCCTCCGAGGGCTCGGAACTTTCGTTGATACATCCACCATTCGGATGCCACTTGAGGACGCTGTGCTCAAATGGGTCGGAGAGGCCAGACGAGGTGCCGCTCTGAGCCGGAGCATTGACGGCTTTTGAGAAACCCTATAGTGATGCTAGTGTGAGCTTAATAAAACCGGGTTGTCCAGTACTACACCCAAGGAAGGACAATTCCCGCTGGCCCACCCACAATTTCGAGTGTATTCTACCTACTAGGAGACGAACAGAGCATTCTGAGAGTTGCTGATCCCAACATCGCCATTGGCTTAGAACACAACCAAAGCTCTCGAGGGGTAAGGCGATCTATCCTTCATCTCGCATAAGTATACAACCAAACCTCTTTGTAAACGACTGGGAAACCTGTGATCAATAAGGAGATGATTCGAAAGTAGCACTCAAGATTCAAACTAGCTAATAAGCATTTACGAGACATAGAATGTTCCTAATTGATAACCACATATTAGCAGCCCACCATACAACAACGACACGAAACATTTCCAAAGTAAGTCCCTCAAACATCACAGCATAGCGCACTAACTACTCAACGCCAACACAAGTGAGAAAACCACGTCGCAACTGCTTCTCAATGAAAAGTGCTTTGTTCGATCGTCAAATGGCCATTGTCACCAAAACGAGCCAGACTAACACCGCCATCATCACGTATCTGCTGCAACTGACCTCATGCGAACCACCACTTTATACCTCCTACGATTATCTCCGTAATTCCACAGTTCTCCCCACCCATCCTGAGCCACGCTTCAGGGGGGAGCTGCAAGGCTCTGCATACGAAGTACCTAAGCCGACAATGACTGCTAACATGGCCTACAGCGACTCTTACCGAATAACGTTCATATGACATACCACTATGTAATATTCATGTCCTTTGGTGAGGTCCTCATCAACATCACCGTCCTCACCTATCGCTTCCTTACCATGTCTACAGGAAACAGATCAATTCATCTTCCCCTCAACCCCGCGCCCTCCCACTTGAAGTAGTCTTCCGCAATTTTCTTCTCTTTTTCTTTTTGTTTCTCCTCGACCGTTTTGTTCTTCTTCGGCGGCTTTTTATGGTCCTTCGCCCGATGCACATATTTCCTATATGCTGCCTCCAACCTGTTGCCCTCCTCCAGCAGGCGTGCCGGTCTTATCTTCGAATAGCTCTAAGATGACCATCACCATCAGCGTGGGAAAATATGAGCATGGCCAACTACATGTGTTGGCAACAATATTGAAATTCTGAGAAAATTTTACGAAATTCCTACTAATTCCTACTCTTGTGATTATGAGAAAATTCCTGATTCCAGTTGGGGAAAACAAACATATTTTCCAACATAACTCTCAATAGAACATACCAGTGACCACCTACCCTCTCTGACATAGGCATCGGCACGCATGGCCACCCCTCCGCCAGAATAGGGTCAGGGTCTTCGTAGTGGACCGCCTTCTCGCCACCGAGAACCTTCACAACAGTTGCTCACAAACACCTGCCTCGGCGCTACCTCGTGAATGATCTCAGCGGTTTGCTTAGCTCGTAACACATCAGATGATATCAGCTTCTTGAACCTGTACACCAACATGCACATAACAACGCCCTGGTTCAATGCTGCCTTACTCTATTTTTCTCGTACCATACCGATCGGACTTCATCCCCTCAGTCATTTGCTTCAACCGCTGACCTGCGTCACAGCCCTCAAACCACCCACCACGACCATGAGTAACTCTACCAACAATCCGGCTCTGTTCCTTGCCGAGTTCTGTGAGCTCATTCTCATCCGAATCGAGATTGTACTGACCATGTCGGATGAGAAGGAGATGCACCGTAGGCTTATACTCCTTCTTGGCCTGAGCGATGAATATCCATACCAGCAACATTCAACCATCCATACCGCACCTCTTTGGTTTCTCCACCGTCCTTCTCTGATGACGATTTCTGCTCCTACAAGAAAAAACTGAGTTCAGATAGAGTGTATTCAAGTGGCTACTTTTTTCGCATCTTCTCGTGGATTACGACCGTCCCAGTCTGCGTTCCACAATCGTGTCCATTTGCTACAAAGACAAAAAGTCTCATCATTAACCCTTCGAAAAACGAACAACAACACCACCACCACCGAAATCACTTCGCATTTAGACCGTCGTGAATTCCCAAGCGGTGACGATAACCAAATTGGTACTACACGGAAGTAGCAAACGAATTTCAATCGGATGGTCACTATCGATAGCGACGTGAGGAGTACTCACCCATATTGGCCCATGGTTATTTCTTCCATGCTTCTGTCCTTCATCTCGTTCTTTATCCAGTCCCTCGGGTCCTCTTCACACCACACTCGAGGTCTCGGCCGACTCTTACAGTCGACGACCATTGCGACCAACTGAACGCCAAGATCCATCTTGAGATGACGCTGAAAGCACTTACCCCACAAGCAACCGCTGAGACGGGCAAAACGGCCCGTTGGAAGAACTGGCCAGACATGGGAAAACAACAATCTGTTGGGAATAACGACCTCTTCCCCCCTACCCAAAAAACTTCAGCCTTCCGCATATCAAAAACGCTACTCATGGTCATCACATATTCATGCTTCTTGAAACCTCCACAATTTTCCACGTGTGTATGCCGGGAACCTCTAGAGAGCCAATATGGAGCCGTACCTGACAACTCGACACACTCCTTGGAAATTTCCTCCGCCGAACTCACCGGAGCTTCGCAAATTCCGACAGATGTCCTCACGTGCCTCACCATCGTGTTCACCTACGAGGAGCGGCAACACGAGCCACCTGCCGTGCAGAGGCTGTCCCTTCTTCCCGACGCGACTTCATGAATAGTTAATACACCGGATACCGTCCATTTACTGTCTTCAAAATCTGATACCCACGCCGGTTCAACTTTTCCACACTTCAACTCACAATCAGCTCATAGTTAATCTTGCCCCCCCCAGGGATCGGTCCGACGATCCCTTGACGTACTCTCCCCTCCTCTCTGGAACAGGATGGACATACCGCACCGTCCACAGAACGGGCTATATACACCATCGCCGTAACATGGTGAAGTTACTGTTACAACAACAGCCAATGCTCCTCCGCAGTACCCCAGCTCGATCAGTCCACATACTAGATCGTTGATTCCTTATGAAAACCCAAGTAAAAACGTCGACGTGAAACTCGGAGTTTTTTTCCCAATAGGAATTGCATTATTCACTCGATATTTGAGGAACAGGTGGTGTGTTGTACTGTACGTAGTTACGGAGCTCAATCATCTTCCCCTTGACCTCCTCGACAAGAGGGTGATTGCTGCCGTGAGTGATGCTCAGAATGCGGTACTGAAAAAACACCATCACAAGTTGCGAACCACCTCATTTCCCCGCCCTACCGCTTTAGCGAAATATCCTAAAGCTTCTCGTAATGAGCCTGCCAGAAAGTGGGAAATTGCTGACGATTTCTAAAGTCGGCTCACCGTCGTTCAAAGAGAGGATCTTCGTGAGCATATAAGCGTTAACTCCAACACAAACGTCGTACTCCTGGCCACCAGAGAGGGTACTCTACGAAATGATGATTATTCAGACTAAGGTACCATCACTTAGGGGCAAATCCAAAAAATATGTGATTATCGTTAGTTCCATTCGAGTATATAATAGCTAATCATTATATCTATGCTCTGTTCAAGTTTCAGCTCAAAACTCTCATGCGTTGACGAGAAACACAGATTTCTTGGATTTGTCCCTTAGAAAAAAATACGCTCCTTATGCTTCAACCAATACATATTCCATCTAAGTTCACACCCACAAAGTTTCCACTCGAAATAGGAAGGAACAGGGCACAACAGTCTTTCAGCTTACCCGTAATTCATCCACAAGCCTCCCTGCAGTAGCTGCCTCCTTCCATTCCTGCTTCTGTACACTCAGCCGTAGGTCTTCCTCTGCATAGACCAGCCTCAGGTAGGAGCTTTCCTCATCACTACGTGTCGGACCTGAACACTACCCCATCGCCGTTATCAACGTCATCAAGGTACTCATCTTCCCTAGTGCATCTTTCACACGAGCAATCAAATTTGTACTGGTCCCGGAGCCTTTGGCATCGCTTCGCTTTCGGTGATATACATACGTCCACATACGATATGAACAGCTCAGCCCCATCCTCTACGGCTCGTATCGTTCGCAATGTGCTGATGAGAACGCAGATGCACTCTACCCCGAAAATGTGATGAACATGATAAACTTCATGTGTGTCCGAAAATTTGAAATTTTTTTTTAAAAATTTCGATGGGTTTATGTACACATACCTACAAAATTCTATAACGACTAAGGAAATTCCCGAGCTCAATCGAGCGACCGAGCATATGTTCCCTATTACACTTCGCTGCCCGAGAAGATAAGGACGACATTCGGAGCACAGCTGTGGTTCATAGCAGAGACCTCAGTATACAAGCCCAGGGCAACATCCTGAGAGCATGCCTCAACCCCACGGCGAAGGGCCACAGGAACTGACCTGTAACGAGTCGTTGGTAATCGTTACAGCGTTGTATCGTAGAACTCGGAGGAGGTCCAACATGACCGGGACGGGAGGGGAGTCTGATGCTCACGCAGTGTCGGATATTCGTTCATTTTTCTTAGCTGAGCTTGAGAGTTTCTATTCGAATGCGGGTAGAAGTGTACAGAGAACATTCCCAAAATTTCCCCGGAATTTTCATATCTTGACCATGTGCATATTTTCAGCGTAAAATACAAATAAGGTCAGCTTGCGTACCATCCAAATAGCGACTCAGGAGGATAGCAGTAGAGCCTGAGTCAGCTTCCAACGTATCACTCGAATCAGCATGCCGACACATTTCGTCCACACTATGTCGAACCTAAACAACTTCACTACTTTCCCAACACTACTACCCAACGTACCGCCTCGTCCTCCTGCACTAGCCAGTGCAGTTTAGCTGCTGCGAGGAAGGTAGTAAGGGGTGCTGAGGAGGCATGCTCCGCAGGGAGCTTTTTAATCTGAATATTATCATCACTACTCCCACCACACGACACGATCCAACCAGTTGGCACTCCCTTCTGTGAGTTCCCAGCTTATATGCAGCCTTTGCACACTCCTTGCTGCAGTACACAGCATATCGACAACCACTGCACTGGTAGTACTTGGGTGCTGAGCAAATCGAAAATTTCGAATTCAGCCGCGAAGTGAAATTTGATTTTAATTGGATGAGAAAAATTTTGACGAAATGAGAAAAAAATTGATTTTCGTAGAGTTTCCACTTCCTGAATTTCAGTTCGAAAAAGGTGTAGATGCGCCCTTCCTCACCATCACTATTGAGGCACCAGTGACAGCATGCCTTAGCCATTGTCGGTGTTACACAGTAGACGATAGGTCTATAAGTCGCTATAGAGTCGCCAGGAATATAGTGACTTCCTTCCCCAGCGAACAAGCCTCGACCCCCTACAGAGCTGGACTCGATCCTGGGTCCAAGTGAGTTCCTCTTGGACATACTGCGAGACAACTAAAGACAGTTGTTGAGAAGAACACGTCACAGCCCTTCGCTGCTACTGTGTGTGGTAGCATCACGACTGCCTAGTGGAATGACAGTACATTCAACGATTACCCCGAAGACTTCACCCAGCCGAGACTGTGCACAACAGATTGCGTATGCAACACCCTGTATAAATGAGTGTACACTGTACTACTAGGAGCAATCCCATCGAACCCCTCCCCCACTATCAAACTCAACACGAGAGTAAACATGGGAATCTGCCCGTACCAACGTGATGACCGTCATGAGCATCTTGAACCCAATGAGCGTGAAAAGCTTCCGACATGGGCTGTAGCGAAGTGGATGAGCTCGTTCATAAGGGACAAGGAAGCCTCATCGACGACCACATGGCTAACGTCGATGACCTTGAGCCATACACTACTCTTTAAAGGATCAACACCGCCCGTAATTTCTCAGAGTCGCACCCAAAACTACATTCTCGTTAGAGGATGCCACCTCCCCGAGTGTGCTCCTATCAAGTCCCATATAACAAGGTCATCGATGGACCTGGGAATTGTCACGGACCTTCCTATCATAGCAATGGCAATCATGAGCGCCCAATCGGGACCACAGTACGTGGTTGAGCACTACAACATGCGACATCCACCCCCACCCAACGCGACCTATACTAGGCTAGAGACCATCGTGGTTTAAGCTGCAATCAATGAACATGCAATTCAGCTTACATACAACTTACACATGCATGACCACAGTCCTCTACTGCAAGCCCTTCGCATACCTCCGCAGCCGCTTCGAGATCTGCCACGACTTCACCATTGCCCCCAGCCGACCGAAACGGTCCTTGCTAGGAGACTGCGCCCCAATGTCCGCAAAAGCGATATCCTCTTCCACCCCGTCCCATGTATGTCTGGTCACGTCCTGCTCCTCCCCAAGGGCCTCATCCTCCCTATGACCGTCAAAGTCCCTCATGAGCCTCTCAGGCCCCGCCGTGGCCCTCTTCTGCACCTCCTTAAAAGTCCTATCGAAATCAACAATAGTCCTACCCTGGGCCACCCACAGCCGACAGTGCAGCCAAAAGCAAGCCGCATAGAAGTGAGCGACCACTTCCATAACCATCCCTTCCTCATTACATCGACGACTGAGTCTCCCCAATCTGAATACGTCCATGGCCAACTTCGTGTACTTGATCGAAGCACAGGCGAAAGGAAAGTCACTAGCAGCCTTCAGTGAGGCTTCATACATGGCAATGCTGAGAGTAGGGAAGGTGCAGCAGAGATAGAGCATATGGATGACATTTAGGATTCCACCGAAGCGGTTGAGGTCAGTGGCCGGGTTGGTGCCCTGGAAGCCTATAACGGTCCAGTGCTCCCCCACATCCTCACAGTCCTGTTCCGACCCAGTCAGTTTACGCCAGACACTCTGTATGATACTCCTATGCATACCATTATCATGAGGATCGTAATGAACACGAGTCAGGCACAGTAGCAGTTCCTTCTCCCTAGCCAGGTCCCTCCCTATACCCACTGCAGGGTTGCCCACAGTCTGGCCCTGCAGGGCCATACCAGCCGTAGTACAGCACGTGAGACTAGCTGCCAGAGACCGGTGCCCAGCCGCTGGTAGAGAGGGCATGTAGCCATCCACGACTTCAGACAGAGCCTCTGATGTGACTATAGACCCCTCATTAGCCCTAACCCACTCAAAGGCATCCTTCGCCGTGATATCCACAACTGGTACTACCTACAGTCACAACAGCCTACGTCAAAGAACTACGACCAGAAACTACCTCTGCGAGAGGTGCCGTGCTATCCGCCTCAATTCGTCGCTTGCTCTCAGCCTCCACCGCCTCCCATATCATCATAACATCAATATCATCCTCTGCGATGACCTCCTCCCCAGCCTTAGCCATCTCCTCATTAGCCTATTAAACCTTATCCCATACCACACCAATCACAAGAGCTCACCTCCAAGTCGTCCTTGTCTTCTCCCACACCAGACCTACTACAACCACTAATATCGCACAGCCCCAATAACTCAGCATCACCGGTCATTCCCCACCACGACGCCTCGCAACGCTCCACCCTTGGCTCCGCTCGCCTGCAGTAAGACAGCCCTGCCCTGTATAGTCATCATCATATCAACTACTACCTCCTCCACCTTATGAATCGATCCCCCCTCAGAATGGCTTTCCTCTGATCCAGTGGTCTCATCCATTGCTGTCGCCTCATCATCGGCCAACTCCCAGGCATCCTCGAACTCACCATGACCTCCTCCTTCTCCCCCTTCCACAGTAGCCTCCAGCCACTCATCTGTCTCGGACACAGCCTCGAGAGTACCTCACAAGACGTCCCATCGGCTTCTCATGACACCACCCCTACCACCCAGCCCAGCCAAGTCCTGTCCCAACCTCTCCTCAGCATCATCGGCCTCTATGAGAACCTACCATGAACCCATAAGATTCCGCTGGCGACTGCTCCAGTACCTCCTGCGCCTCCCCACCATCACCCCCGACTTCAACTGTCAGCCCATCCTAGAGAATATAGACCATGTACTGACCATAGGTGACCCCTTGTACCTCTTTTTCTTCCGCGTATTCGTCAACATACTCCGTGGGGAAATACCCAGCAGTCGCCTCCCCAGTCGTTTCTTACCAATGATTCACAACAGACCGAGAACACACCCCAAGAACCTACCCTTGCTATCACCACCACGTGTCACCACCCTGCCATAGGACCACCCCATCTGATCACCGATCAGGACCTAAGCACACACCATCCTCCCCTAAGCCTAGCCTTCCACCAACCTCTATA